GCTCAGTCACCAAACACACAGACGGGGCTGGGGGAGGGAAGTGATCGCTGCTCTGTCACCAAGCGCACAAATCAGGGGGCACTTATTTTCTAAATTCAGTGGGCATTTTCTAATTGTATCCTCACAAGAGCCCCTGAGAGACACAGCTGTCCCATTTCAAAGATGCAGAGTCCAGAGACGCCAACGAGCCTGTGCGGTCACATGAGCCCACCCTGAGATTCCAACAGAGGTTGGCTGGACCCTTCCCACGCCCCACTCTGCTTTTAAGGAAAGGGCTCAAATAATTCCAGTCCCCCAAAGCTAAACAAAATGCACAAAAATGACATCAGAGAACACAAAGCTGTAACGCGAACTGCAAAGCCACAAAAGGTCAAAGTGCAATAGCTATTTTATCATCTTCCACAACTACGACAACATTTCATCCGGACAAACATGGCACATCTGGAGACCCACAGCATCTGTTCACCAGCGTGACTGGAACTTGTCAGAGCCTGACCAGCCACAGTCCTGCAGGGCAGGGCTACAAAGGCAGCCGCTGCCGGCAGAGTGTGGAGGGCTCACAAGGTCTCTGGGTGGATGGAACCTTAACCTCCTCCCAGGTTCCAGAGGGACCAGCAGCCGCTTACAACAAATACCTGAATCGTCCAGGGACTCTGCCTCCCCAGAAGCACTGCTGCTGACAACCTATTGTGTTAGAGTGCTCACTCTCCTGGGATATGCTACACGGAAAATCTGAAAGCAAATTTAACCGAAAATATCCACAGGTTTTTCATTTATCAATTCAGGATACATACCTGAATTATCTATGAAAGACTAGCATACCCTTCGGTGATTTTGTAAAGAAAATGTCTCTATCTCACAGTAGAAATGGCCTATGTCCATAGGTATTACCTAAATACCATTTTAGAGTTGCACTTTTGTGAGCTGATGACTTAGGAATAGTTGGATCCACTGAGCTATGCTCACTCTCATAAACGCCTTAGAAATAGATTTTTAAAATAGGAATCTTAAATTAATGGTAGTATATCCTTTATGACTGACAATTAAAATTCTTGTAGCATCAGCTGCCTGTGCAGAATTTTATATTGAGTGCAGGAAATTACTTACATAGTAATTTCAGAAAATCCAGATTAAGATAAATTAACAAAAAGACATTTGTTGAAGTAACAGGCAAAATCCAGAATTGTGTGTGACTTTTCACATAATTCTAGGCCAGTTTTCACATTCATTTTAACTAGTAAAATGAAAATTCTTTAAATTCCAACAATCTATTCATTAAAACTTTAATTTGGTGCATTAGCTGATTGACACAGGCGATCACGGAAGTTATTTCTGTTAACCTGAGATGATAGGTTGTTTTAAACATCGAGAGTAGAAAGAAAAAAGTGGGAAGGAAATGGGGAGGTGTCGGTCAAAGACACAGCGTAGCAACATTTAGGACGACCTGTCCAGAGACCCAGCTCACAACAGGAGGGCTGGAGTGCGCAAGAGTGTCGGGCTCGGGGTTCCTGCTGCATCAAGCAGGTTCTGGCTGCTCTGGCACGGGCGCCAGGGGAGGGAACGGGAAGTCAAGTGAGACGTGGACATGTTCATCGGGTCCACTCTCACCACAACCTCACTATAAAAACATGTATCTCATGACATCATCATATATGCCTTAAATATATACAATTTATTTTTTTTTTTTAAAGAAAAAAGAGCAAAGTGAAAAATAGGAGGCAGCAAAAGTGAGGAAAAAACTTGGCTGCACAAGTCCTTGGGTCCTCACTGCAAACACTGAAAATGCTGACTTTTTAAACAGGATGTTAGTTCCTGCGGCCACACGGGCACAGCCTGAAGATGGACAGGAATACCCCACCCTGGAATTTAAGGAGAAGGCCCCTTACTTCATGGCTGGATTCTCCGTCTAAGCTGGTGGACCCCGCCTTGGAATCTAATGAAAAGGCCCCTTACTCTATGGCTGGATTCTCCATCTAAGCTGGCGGACGCCGCCCTGGAATCTAATGAAAAGGCCCCATACTTTATGGCTGGATTCTTTCTCCAAGCCAGCAGACCCCTCCCTGGAATCTAACAAAAAGGCCCCTTACCTTATGGCTGGATTCTCCATCCAAGCTGGCGGTTGTGACATGGCACGTCCCATCTCCCCGGTTGCTGGAAAGGAAGATCAAGTCGCAGGGAAACGTCTCGTCCTCCTTGACCATGACAATGTCCCCAACCTACAGCACAAGCAGAAAGGATGGTCAGCGGAAAGCCCCTCCATGAAAGCTCACCGCCGTGTGGGACTGCTCTTTCAAGGTGTTCATTTTTTTACAGGAAGATACAGGGATGCAGAGATGATTCTAGGAAAAGACACCTGCCAGACATTCTGCTGGGGCCAAAGAAAGACCAGGTCAGGTTTCAATATTCCAACTGCAGCTCAGAGAAGTGCCAAAGCACAGCATGATCGAATATTCTGGAGCAAAAACAGAGACCAACACCTGCAACAAGGTTATCTCTGATTCAGACCAAGTAAGACGAGTTTGAGTGCCTGTCAGCATGGCCAAGCGGGATGTACTCCCATGAGAAGCTCTGATCTCAATCCGGCGTTTTATGAACCGGGTGGTAGAGTTCTGAGAGCTTCCTGATCAACAGTGCCAAGGCACTGCCCAGCTCATCAAAGCATGAGGACAAATAAAGCCAAAGTGGCAACAACATCTCAAAAACGAAGTAAAACTCAATCACAGGAAGTTCATCATGTGGGTTTTTCGAGAAGGGTAATGGTCTAGTTTGTATCTGTGTCCCTCTCATTTCGCTGGGGAGGATGGCAGCTCAGTGAGCTGGACTGTGTATCTGAAAGACGAAGGATCATCAGACCCCTTGAGTGAGCAAGTGTGGGTCCCCCGGCCAGTCTCACCGCCACTCGGGAGGCATGCCAGGGTCGGGGCTTGCCCTGCCTCTGTCAACACTGCAAGCAGAGTTCTCTGTCTCACTACATGATGGTCACAGCACACTGTGAATTTGTGAGACTTTAAAATCAGAGGGTTACTCTCCCCAAATGTACCCATGGGTTTACTAAAATCCCTATGGAAATCCCAGCAAGGACTTTCATAGACATGAATGAGCTGATTCTAAAATTTATATTGGAAGGCACAGGCTCTAGAATAGCTAAAACCACCCTGAAAAAGAAGACTGAGTGGAAGGACTCGGTCTCCCCAATGACAGGGCTTCTGAAGTAGCTACAGTGACCAACAATGTGGGATTGGCGGGGCTTGGGTGTGGACATCAATGGGACAGACCAGGGAACCAGAAATGGACCCTCGCAAATGGGCTTCACTGATGGTGACAGAGGGCAAGGGCTGCTCCCTGGAGGAGGGACAGCCGCCCACCCCTGGTGCAGGGCAATCGGACAGCCACAGGCAAAACAGTAAGGACAGAAACACCACACCTTATACAAAAACCATCTCAAAGTGGATCATGAACTTAAATGTAGAACACGAAATTATAACACTTTCAGAAAGAAACATGGGAGAAAGTCTTTGGGTCTCAGGATAGGCCAAGAACGCTTCATTCAGGACACTGAACATACAGTCCGCAAAAGAAAAAAAAATCAGCCAGGCGCAGTGGCTCACATCTGTAATCCCGGCACTCTGGGAGGCCAAGGCACGTGGATCACTTGAGGCCAGGAGTTCAAGACCGGTCTGGGCAACAGGTGAAACCCTGTTTCTACTAAAACTACAAGCATTAGACAGGCGTGGTGGTGCACGCCTGTAGTCCCAGCTACTTGGGAGGCTGAGGCAGGAGAATTGCTTCAACCTGGGAGGTGGAGGTTGCAGTGAGCCGAGATTGTGCCACTGTACTCCAGCCTGGGTGACAAAGGCAAGACTGTCTCAAAAGAAATAATTTAAAAATAAATAAATTTAAAAAAATTGGACTTCAATAGAATGTAAAACATTTGTTTTGTGAAATACCTTGCTGAGTGTTAAAAATCTATATCTGACAAAGTAGTAATATCTAGACTACATGACCTCTTAAAATTTAAGAGTGGGTTGGTCTGATAGTGGTGGGTTATCAGAACTTACTAGCATTAGTGTCACTAAAGTTGGTCTACAATCCCCTACTGCTAGATTTGACTGGCGTTTTAAAATAAATAAATAAATAAATAAATTTAACAGTGAAAAGAAGCTCAAATAATCCAGCTGGAAAAATGGACAGAAGACACGAAGAATTATTTTTACTGACGAGGATGCACAGATGCCAAGCGAGCGCAGGGAAAGATGTCAGACAGGCCATCGAGAGATGCATGTTTAAGCCACACTGAGATGTTGTGGGTGGCAGATACTGGAACGTGGTGGGCGGGAATGACACGGGACAGCCACGCTGGAAAACGCGTTGGCAGTCCCTTTCAAAACCAAACGTGGATATGCTAGACGACCCAGCAACTGAACACTTGAGCTTTTATGCCGAAGAAATGAAAACTACATTCACAGGAAGACCTGTACACAAATATTCATAGCAGCTTTATAGATAATAGCCCTAAACTAGAAAAACCGACACGCCCTTCAACTTGGGAATGGTGAAACTGCGGTACGTCCGCAGCACGGAACCCTCCTTAGCAAAAAAGGGAAGGAACAGCTGGTGCGCAGACTTAGTGAATCCCGAGGGAATTAGGCTGCCCGACGACAGCCAACCCCAGGAGGTCACAGGCCACAGGATTCTCTTTATGTCATCCATGAAATAAGGAAATCTTAGAGCTGGGCAACACGCCGGGGCAATGGGAACACAGGATGCCTCTGTAATTACCTCGACATAAAAGTTTAATTAAAAAAGAAGAACTAATTAAAGGATTGCCTTTCTAGTTCGCTCTAGCACCCTGCAAGGCTTGAGCCATTACAACCGATGGAAGCCGATGCCTGCAGTTGTAGGAAAAGCCTGACCTTTTCTTTCTCATCCTGCATAGCCTGTTTAGAATCCTCCCTGTTACGATGCGCAGGATAGAGGGCAGGCATTTCCCACGGAGACCAGTACATTAAAAATTCAGTTTTATGTGGGCAGACAGAGTTTAGGTCTGTTTTTTTTTTAAGAAAGACGTTTAGCTACAAGTATGAAAGGCTTCGCAAGGGGAATATAATCGATAAAGGAAATGGCATTGAAAGCCTGAGACCGGACGCCTGCTGACACAGGTGTGAGTCCACGGCTGTTCCCTAGGCCGGGGCCATCTGCTCTCTGAACCCCTGACCACTAGGGAAACATCGCCCACCTGAGCTCACTGAAGGGAAGCTCTTTCAGAAGCATTTAAACACCTGGACAGCAAATTTATAAGTGAAAATGTTTAAATGCTTAAAAGTCCATTCGGTGATGTGTGTGATACACAGAACAGTGAGAGCAAGGTGAACGGGGGTGGCGGGGGCCAGTGGTTGATGCCAGCTCCTCTGAAGGACCTCTGAGCGCCTCCTGGGTTCCTGTCCCACTGCACCGGGAGGGGCTGCGGCCTTGTCCGGAGAGGCTCACTGGGCCCGGCTGGCTGGGCTGCTCAGAGGCCCTCCCCCTCCCGGCTTCTGGAACGAGCCTGGCTCTTCCTGTGCACAGGACCCAGTGGGGAGCTCCCTCTGTCCCTCACTGAACCTCCCACAGCTCGGCTGGGAAAACAGTGGGATAGGCAGTGGGGCTGCAGGAGGGAGGAAGGCGTGGGAGTGGGTGAGGGCCAGGCAGCAAGCACGGGCACCAGTGGGGGCGGGAAGGGGCCGGCGTGGGCCTGGCGCTGAGCTCCACGGTCAGATGGCAGACTGGAGCAGGCTGCTGACCGCTGCCTTGACACAAACATGAAGGCCACACTCATGGTTCCACCTATACAGGTGCTTCCAAATGACTAGTGAAAGGCCGAAAATATCTCATTTAAATAATTTAAACACATTTTAAAATGTATTGATGTATTAGTTACACCAGTAATTCATTTGAAACATTTAAAATGCAGCCTTCAAGAAGAACTGTAATATTCCCAGCACAAAGGAATAATCCACAAGGTGATGGACATCCCAGTTACCCCGACTTCATCTTTACACATTGGGGTGCAGGCAGCAAAGTATCACACAGATCCCCAAATACAAACAACTATTATATATCAATAAAAAATAAAATTTTGGCAGGGCGCAGTGGCTCGTGCCTGTAATCCCAGCACTTTGGGAGGCCAAGGTGGGTGGATCACTTAAGGCCAGAAGTTCGAGGCCAGCCTGGCCAACGTTTTGGTAAAACCTCATCTGTACTGAAAATGCAAACATTAGCCAGGCGTGGTGGCGTGCACCTGTAATCCCAGCTACTCGGGAGGAGAATCACTTGCACCTGGGGATGGAGGTTGCTCTGAGCTGTGATTGTGCCACTGCACTCTGGCCTGGGTGAAAGAGCAAGATTCTGTCTCTAAATAATTCTGTCTCTAAATAAATAAATAAATTTAAAAATACAATCTTCGATGAGGTTTCCTGTTCCAATTTTCATAAACTTCTATCTAGTAGAATTTATACTGATATGATTTTATTACACCTTATTCTAAAACAATACATTTCTACCTAGTAGAGTTTATATTAATATTTTATTATATCTTATTCTAAAACAAACTTTAGACACAGTGTTTCCAACCTTTCTCTCTCTTGATTGGTTCGTGTGTTCCCACAATGATTTTAAATTCCACCAATTCTGGTGTGGAATGCTGCTGGTGGGGAGGCTGTGTGTGGGGGTGGGGGCGGTGGGTATATCCACCCAATTCTGCTGTGAACTCAAAACTGCTTTAAAAAGTAAAGACTACTAAAAAAAAAATTAAAGGTAAAAAAATAAAGGTAGTAGGGAGCTGGGGCCTACACTCAATAAAAAACATCTCAGTCTGTTTTGTCAAAGAAAATAAAAACTGTTTTTAAAGTTTGTATTTAAAAACTGTTTTAAGAGACAGGGTCTTTCTCTGCTGCCCAGGCTGGAGAGCAGTGGCTGTTCACAGGCATGGTGGAGCCTCCTGAGTGGCCTCCAGCCCCCGGGCTGAGTGATCCTCCTGCCTCAGCCTCCTGAGGCGCCAGGACGGGAGACATGAGCCGCCGCACCTGGGTCAGACCTGTTTCTCCAATGGTCACTGGACTAAGTCCGGGTAAAGTGTCGGGCACCACTCACCCGCAGCTTTCGGCTCTGCTTCCGGACGAGCTTGCCGTGCTGGATGAAATGAACGGGACACTGGTTCATGGCGTTGTCTGCCTTATGTCGAAGCCAGTCTTCATAACCCTAAAGGAAGGAAGGAAAAGAAGGGTGAGAGGAAGCGGGGAGAGAGGCAGGGAGGCGCAAGGTGGGGAGAGGCGGAGGGCTCGAGCTGAATTCTGTGCAAGCACAATGCGAGCCTGCAGAGGTGTATTTTTCAAATCAGGATACACCACACACACGATTCTTTGTATCCCTGACAGCATCGACACTTTCCCAGGCAATTTGAGCTGCTTTACATGTTTGCGGTTGGATAACTGCAAAGACGTTTGATAAAGATGCTTCTGGAAGTTTGCATAAATGCTACATAACTGCACTTTTGTGCACATTCATGACATCGCCTTAGGATAAATTCCTAAAAAAGGAACGTCCGAGTGAAAGGAGGGAAGGCTTCTCACATAAATGCTGTGGCCAGCTGCATTCCACCCACTGAGTGTCAGCCTTCAGCTTGGAAAAGCACACGCTGGCCATACTTCCCTTTCATTAAAAACTGACGTCTGTCATGAGATCTGGCAGCCCAGACTCTCGGTGAACCCCCGGCTCACTCTGTCACGCTCGCAGCAGCCTTAGGGTTCTCCGTGCATTTCTGCCTCTGAGTAACCCATGCGGGAGACATCCATCAGGGCTCCCGTGTGCGCAGGCTTCACGCTGGAGAAGCGGCCCCAGCTCACCCTGACCCCAGCCTCAGACAGGTGCGGACACACGTGCTCCAATTCCAGCTCCCGAGGCACACCCTCTGGTTGGAGAGCCGGGTGGTATCTTGAAAGAAGCGGCAGCAGGAGAGGCCGCACGCTGACACTTCCTGGGATGACGGACCTGCCTTTGTGTCTCGCGTTGCTGGGTGCAGGTGCCTCAGAAAAGGATGGGGAATGGCCGTTCTCAGTAACCATCCCAGCATGAAAGACTGCACACCCGGGCCTACGGGCATCCACTGCACCTAACGCACATCAGGATTGGGAACACAGCTGTGCCACACACAGCCCAACCTCACGGGGTGGCGGCGGAAAGCCTGTGCCGCGGGCCCGCTGTGCATATCCCGAGAGAGCCTGTGGGGCAGGAGGCTCACGGGCCCCTCGCTATGGGCCACCCGGCATCAGGGGCCTGCAACTGGCGTCTATTCTGATGGGAGCAAAAACAAGTAACCCAAAACCTCCAGCTTCTGGAGAATTAAGAAACCCGGGATGCATGGATGTCCAAAGGCGCGGCGCGTTCTCCAGCTCTGGCCGTTACAAGTGACGCCATGGCATCTGATTGCTTTTCAGAGATTCCTCCCAAATGGCTGAAATACCCTCTTTCTGGGGAAACTGAAGAACAGTCTTCTTGGAAGGCGGCAGTGGGTAGACAACTCCTGGGTTCGTTAAACACACTTATTTAGCACCAACTGCATGCTCAGCAAGTGCCAGGCACCAGGGACCTGCAGATGACAGACCTTGTCCCCAGCACTGCTGCTCTCAGGACTGGTGGGGAAGAAACAGAAGTAACTGCAAGTTCAGCTCAGGTAAGAGACACCAGTGCCCCCAAGAAGCCCAGTGCCCTGGCTGCGGGAAGAAGACAGAGAGGAGGTGCCCAGGAATGCCCAGTGGTGATGGAGCGGGGATGGCACTGCCCAGTGGCCAGCCTGGCTGGGTTGGGAGGGATACATGGAGGCCCATGCAGCTAGCGGGCTGATGGGAGGGCCCCACACACAGCAGGGAAGCTGGACACCACAGGGAGAGGCCACTCAGGCAGGGCCTGGGCAGCAGCAGAGCCAGGTACAGTGAGGTGCCCATCAGTGTCCAGGGGATTCACAGGGGAGATGGCATGAAAAGAGAGGCGGGAACCTACAAGAAATCAGGGAGGGCTCTGTGAGTGCAGGGAGCCTTCCAAGGCAAGCGAGGAGGGGCTGGGAGGGAGCATGGGGACCCCAGCACAAACACCCTGCTGGAGCCAGAGGGGTGTGGGGGGCGCAGAGGGAGGCACCGTTCCTGAGGAAGAGGGACAAGGAGGTCAGTGGTGGGGAAGCCAGGAGGGCGCTCAGGCACGCACAGGTCCAGACCAGCAGTGGGAGAAGCGAGGCCTCCCTCAGAGTGATGGCTGGGGAGCAAGAGGCACCAGAGAGGAAGAAACCCCTCCGGTAGGGACGTTGGTGATGAGGCCCAGACCTGCGGTTGTGTTCATTTGACCCCTCTTAACACCTCCCCGAACGCCCACCCCTGGGCACTGCCCCACACCAGGCCGAGGACACCTCATGTTCTTGTCTAGGCCATGGTCTGCATGGTGTTGCAAAGTGGCCTCCGCATCGACGGGGCCGTGGGCTCCTGGGCCATGGGCTCCTGGGCTGTGGGCTCCTGGGCCGCTGCCTTGCTGGCCCAGATGCGTCTTCACAGCCACCCTCCCCACTCCATGCAATCCTCTCCTCACCTCCAGGACAGCCCTGGAGCTCGCAGGAGTTTCCTACTCAGTGGGGTCCCAGGAGGGTTACAATCCTTAAATAAGGCAGAGCAGAGGACACTGAGTAACCAACTGTCTGCGTCCGCCTCCCAGGGCAGGGCTGGACAGGACACTGCCGCACAGCGTCAGCCCTTGTTCCACACCCTGTGCTCCTCTCTCAGCATGCCTCGAGTCTCAGGGGTCTCCGTCCTGTCTGCAGCCTCTGCTCCTGCCACACAGATGTGCCACAGACAGCACAGGACGCCCTCACCTAATCTCCTCGATGGGTTCCTGGAAACACAGCAGGTCCCCAAATAACATCATTTCCTTCAGCACCATTTCCTTTTGAAGTTGATGAGAAAACCCACCGTTTTGCTTAAAGTTGAAGTCTGCAAGAGCCCACCACCATCATTCAGTGAGGCCTTATCCCGTGTAGGCGTTAAACTGCCCCGGTCACGGGCAGCGAGGCCCCCAGCAGCATGAGTTTCCCCCACGTTCTGTTTTCAGGCAGAGCACTTCCTCTCGGTCGCTGTGCTGTGTTCTGCCATGCACCACGGTGGAGCCATCCACCTCCTTACTGAGGGACGCTGGGCGGCCCAAGTCCTTTACTAACCCATGATGGTCACCACGAACACCCTAGTTCACGCATCCCGGCAGGCACGGCAGGCTCCAGCCTAGCAAAGACGCGCCCCATGTGCTGACTACACAGCTGCATGTTTATCATCCACATCGGCCCCTGTGTGTCCAGATGTTGGTCTGGACACGGTCTCTGCCCTGGGACTGGTCCCTGTACCAGATGATGCCAACTGCTATGCTCGGTGGCTCTGCCACGCTCCTGCCAGGGGCCCGTGGTGCCTGCTTCACCACGTCATCTCCAGACTTTCACATCTGAAAGCCAATCTGGTGGGTGTGAAACGCAGTTCAGGCTGTTGTCCAAATCTGTATTTCCAGATTACTAGTGAGTGAGAAAGAAAAGTCAAACCAACATTAACATTCTATAACTCTCACCTACTCCTCACAGGTGCATCTGAAAAATAATATACCCAGACATCCATCCTCATACCGAAAATCAACTGGACTACCAGAAGGAGAATGGTGCACTCTGAAAACCCATGCACAGACACGCTGCAGTGACGCCAGCCCTTCACGTGGCATCCTTTCGACTTTGGAGTAATCACTCTGCAACACGCCACCTTCAGTGCCTGTGCCTGCTCAGGGCTGCGTGCGTACCACATTGCATGTGAAGTATGCTTCAGGTGTTTATTGATTTAAAGACTAACAATGGCCAGGCGCAGTGGCTTATGCCTGTAATCCCAGCACTTTGGGAGGCTGAGGCAGGTGAGTCAACTGGGTTTAGGAATTTGAGACCAGCGTGGCCAACATGGCAAAACCCTATCTCTACTAAAAACACAAAATCAGCCAGGCATGGTGGCACATGCCTGTCATCCCAGCTACTTGGGAGGCTGAGGCAGGAGAACTGCTTGAACCCAGGAGGTGGAGGTTCCAATGAGCTGAGATTGTGCCACTACACTCCAGCCTGGGTGACAGAGTGAGACTCCATTTCAAAAAAAAAAAAAAAAAAAAGACACCACCAAAGCATAGCTTTTCCAGCAAGAATTTGACCATCAAGAATTTAACTAGAGCCTGTCATTTTGCAGATTATCCAGATGTCTCAAATGATAATCAACCAACAAATGTCAAAATGCAAATAGCATTGGGTTCAGAAGTTTGCAGCAGATAAATGAATTGTGTATGGGACATGTAAAGAATTCTTACAAGTGTTCTAACAGAAAGACAAATAACCCAGTTTAAAAATGGGCAAAGGATCTGAAGACTTTCCTCGAAAGAGTCACAAATGGCCAGTAAGCACGTGAAAAGCTGCCCGACACCTTGAGTCACCAGAGGGGCCAGCTCAAGGCAGCTCTCTGCACGCAGGCTGGCTGTGAGAGGAAGGGCGGACAACAGCAAGGGTCAGAACGCGGAGGAAAGAGCCCCTGCACCGCCTGTGGGGGTGCAAAATGGTGCGGCTGCTCGGGAACACGCGCTGGCAGCTCCTCACAACATCAGAGCAGCTCTACTCCTAGGGACGTACCCCCAAAATGAAAACCTATGTTTACTCCTAAATATAGGATACATATGATTATTATATGTCAATTAAAATAAACAGAGGAAAAAGGAAGCCTATGTCCACATAAAACCTGTACGCAAAAGCATTATTCACAACAGCCAAAAGGTGGAAACAGCCCAAATGTCCAACAACAGAGGAGGCAAAAAGCAAAACGGCGTGTATCCACACAGCGGACTGTTATGCATTCGTAACAGGGAACGAAGAGCTGATGAGCAAAACAGCGCGTATCCACACAGCGGACTGTTACGCATTCCTAACAGGGAACGAAGAGCTGATGTCAAATGCAGAGAACCCTTACAAACATTATGTCGGGTGAAGAAGCCAGTCACAAAGTGCAGAAGATGAACCAGGAATACGCAGCGCAGGACAGGCAACTCTACGGTGATAGAAAGATGAATCTTCACCAGGGACAGGGAGGAGAAAAGGGGAGTGACTGAAGTGAGAAAATGGATAAATGGAGAGTAAGTCTGAAATGTACTCTTCTCCACCTTAGTCACTGGCTTTACTTACCAGGGTTACGAAAAACAAAAAGCAAAACAACAAGAACAAAACCATCCCATTTGCCGGAGTCCGTAAGTAGCATGTTCTGTGGTGGTCAAGACGGGGCACGACGCAGAAAGGTGAAGGGACTCGCCAGAATCAGAGCTCGTCCCTGGGTGGCTCGGGATGAAAAAAGCATAGATTTCTTTTCAAACTCAGATGGCGCCAGACTAGCAACTAAATTACATAACATCTCTTATTTTGCTTCAAGTATCAACCTAACACAGTTATAAAAATGCATTTCCAGAACTTGGTTGAATTTTCTGTGAACGAGCTGAAACAAACTGATTACCTCGCTTTGAATGAAAGGCAATTCGCCCGGCAAAGATGACGACTTTCTTCTTTTTCGCCTGTAAAATGCTTACCTGTTTGATAGCCGTGACGGTAATGACAAAGAAGAGGGGGAGTCCACTTGTTACCGGACTTGTGGGCGTGTCGATGATCAACTGCAGAAAGAGAATCACAGAATCATCTTCAAAAACGCAAAACAGTGACTTCCGGCGGGTGAGTTTGCCCCGAGCCAGCACCTGGCATTCACCTTGACTCATTTAAAATCCTTTGCTGGCACCCAACTCTGCCCACCACTGGGGACAGGGAGTAAAACATCCTATTCCACTAACTGTTAAAATGAGGGCAACTTTTTTAAAATTAAGGAGCATGCTTAAGGAAACCACTGATCATCAGCAGCAGATAGCCTGAAGTCGGGGCACACCGTGTTAATCCACCCCCCTGCCCAGGGTCACACTTCAATTACACGATTTGGATAATTTTATGCTGGAAGAATCAGAGCGCTGTTCTTAAAGCACACCTGGACTACTGTTCCCTAACTCATACCCCTGAGATTTTTTTTGCACTCTTTTTGTTTTTAAAACTCTCTTTTAACATGTACCATCTTTGGATTTTGATTTTCTTTAGAGCATCCACACACATTTAGGAAGAGCCAAGTAAGGCTAACAATGCACAGCTTGGCTGTGAGCTTGTCCAAAAGATGGCAAGGCTCTGATTTCCCCTCAGGTACTAGAAGGAAAGGGGCAGGAAGGGCGGTCACCAACTTAAACCCAAAGTGATGTTGTGTGTGCTTTATCCTGTGGGGGTCTCAGAACCAACACGTTTTGTCCTTAAGAAATAAATACATGCTCGTAGGTGAGGGCACCACATCCTGGCTCCTTCACTAGCCGCACGGCAGTTACCTGAGAACAAAACCTCACTTATTTAGATTTACATTTGATGGAAAACAATGACCGGCCTTACCTGCACCAGAAATATGATAAGGAAATAAAAGTTGGCTATTCTTCTGAATTGTTCAAATAAATTCTTGGGTATAAAGTTCCAAAATGTGTACTGCATAAAAGAAAAACAAACATCCATCATTTAGATCAGATTTTGCTTCTCATAGTGTTACGTTACGGCACAGTAAGCAGCACTGGGTGTTAAAGCACCAGCTTTAGACAGAAAACTCACCGTTCACACTCTAGAGCATCTGCTGACAGCTAAGACACAAAGTGTGTGCTCCAAAACACACACGTAAATTACCTAACTCCAGAGAATTCCAGATAAAACACAAGGTAGCTAACAATAGTTTGATTATGAAGACGTCTTTTATAAAACGTAAACCTGTGATCAGTAACTCGACACATTAGCATTTTACTTCAGTAATTTCTGCATGATCTCTCTTTTGAGTGACAGCTTGGCGAGGTGATGGCAGCAAGCTGAGTGCAGCCTTCACCCAGTTCTGAGCAGCTTCTGAGGCAGAGGGGTTTTGTGTCCACAGCCCAGGCATAAGGGCTTTGAGGACCCAGGGGGAAGGAGAGGAAAAGGGAGGGAGGGCAGGGGAGGGAGGCAAGGGAGGGGAAGGAAGGAAGGAGTGAAGGAGAGGAAAAGGAGGGGAAGGAGGGGAAAGAAGGAGGAAAAGAAGGGGAAGGAAGAAAGGGAGGAGAAGGCAAGGAAGGAGGGGAAAGGAGGAGGAG